CTGAGGCAAGCTCTAGGCTCTGAGCTGTCAGCACAGAGCCTGACACGGGGCTTGAACTCACAAACTGTGAGATCATGACCTGAGCCGACGTCTGATGCTTAACCAACTGAGCCACCCAGGCACCTCCCCCCAGCTTTTTTTTTTTTTTTTTTTTAATTTACATCCAAGTTAGTTAGCATATAGTGCAATAATGATTTCAGGAGTAGAATCCAGTGATTCATCCCCTATGTGTAACACCGAGTGCTCATCCCAACAAGTGCCCTCCTTAATGACCCTTGCCCATTTAGCCCATCCCCCACCCCACAACCTGTTTGTTCTCTATAAGAGTCTCTTATGTTTTGTACCCCTCCCTGTTTTTATATTATTTTTGCTTCCCTTATGTTCATCTGTTTTCTATCTTAAATTCCACACAAGTGAAGTTACATGATATTTGTCTTTCTCTAATTTCACTTAGCATAATACACTCTAGTTCCATCCATGTTGTTGCAAATGGCAAGATTTCATTCTTTTTGATTGCTGAGTAGTACTCCATTGTATATATATACCACATTTTCTTTATCCATTCATCTGTCAATTGGCATTTGGGCTCTTTCCATACTTTGGCTATTGTCAATAGTGCTGCTATAAACATTGGGGTGCATGTGCCCCTTCAAAACAGCACACCTGTATCCTTTGGATACCCAGCACCAAATATTGAAAAGACTGTCTTCACCCCATTGAATATTCTTGCCTTCTTTGTCATAGATTAATTGACTATACAAGCATGGGTTTATTTCTGTACTCTTTCTTTTGTTCTGTTGATTTATGTGTCTGCTGTGCTTGCTTCAGGAGCACATATACTGAAATTGGAACAATTTGTATGTTTGTTTTTGTGCCACTACCATACTGTTTTGATTAATGTAGCTTTATAGTATATCTTGAAACCTGGGATTGTGAAGCCTCCAGCTTTGTTTTTCTTTCTCAAGATTGCTTTGGCTATTTGGTGTCTTTGCAATTCCATACAAATTTTATTTTGGCTGTTTGGTGTCTTTGCATTCTAGTTTTGTGAAAAATGCTATTGGTGTTTTGGTACAGATTATGTTGAATCTGTAGATTGCTTTGGTTGGTATGGACATTTTAACAATATTCTTCCAATCTATGAGCATGGAATATTTTTCCATTTGTGTTGTCTTCAGTTTGTTTCATCAGTGTCTTATAGTTTTCATAGTACAGGTATTTCACCTCCTTAATTAAATTTATTCCTAGGTATTTTATTCTTTTGGTGCAATTGAAAATGGAATTTTTTCTTATTTTCTCTTTCTTCTTCATTACTAGTATATAGAAAGGCAACAGATTTCTGTATATTTAATTTTTATCCTGAAACTTTACTGAATTCATATATTACTTCTAACAGTTTTTTATGTATACTATCATGTCATCTACAAATAGTGTTGGTTTAACTTCTTCCTTACCAATCTAGATGCCTTCTATTTCTTTTTCTTGTCTGATAGCTATGGCTAGGACTTCAAGTACTATGTTGAATAAAAGTGGCAAGAGTGGATATTCTTGTCGTGTTCCTGATCTTAGAGAAAAAGCTTTTGTTTTTTCACCATTGAGTATGATGTTGGCTGTGGGTTTGTCATATATGGTCTTTACTATGTTGAGGTATGTTTTCTGTATCCCTACTTTGTTGAGTTTTTATCATGAGTAGATATTGAATTTTGTCACATGCTTTTTCTGCATCTATTGAGATGATCCTATGATTTTTATCCTTTATTTTGTTAATGTGGAATATGATTTGTGAATATTTAATCATCCTTGTACCCCCAGAATAAGTCCCACCAGATCATGGTGCACTGTCCTTTGGTCGTTGAATGTGGTTGCTAATATTTTGTTGAGTTATTACATCTGTGTGCATTCAGGATATTGGCCTATAGGTGGGTTTTTTTTTGTTTGTTTGTTTGGTGGAGGTTTTTTTGTTTGTTTGTTTGTTTGGTTGGTTGGTTGGTTGGTTTTTGTAGCATCTTTGTATGGTTTTGGTATCAAGGTAATGCTGGCCTCATAGAGAAGCTTTCTTTCCTTTTCTTATCTTTCAATTAGTTTGAGAAAGATAGGTATTAACTTGTCTTTAAATGGTAGAATTTACCTGTGAAGCCATCTGGTCCTTGATTTTTGTTTTATGGTAGGTTTTTGATTACTGATTCAATTTCATTACTAATAATTGGTCTCAGATTTTCTGTTTGTGCCAGGTTCAATATGGGATGATTGTATGTTTCTAGGAGTTTATCCAGTTTTTCTAGGTTGTCCAGTTTTTTTGGTATATAATTTTTTTGTAGTGGTCTCTTAAGTTCTTTGTATTTCTGTGGTGTCGGTTGTTATCTCTTTTTTGTTTCTGATTTTATTTGGGTCCTTTTTTTTTCTTGATGTCTCTGGCTAAAGGTTTATTCATACAACCAGCTCTTGTTTCATTGATCTTTTCTATTGTTTGTTTGTTTCTTTTGTCTCTCTCTCATTATAACCCCACCACTTTCAATATGTTGATTATTTTGGTTGCCAACTGCAGTCTTTGCTCCCTTATGACAGTTGACTTTATGCAGTTTTGATAATGTGAAGCCATAATAAGAGCTCTCATTTACTGAATGCTTACTATGAATTATGCACTCTACTTGTTTTTTTATATAAGAGCTATTATATTGAATACTTACATTGTATTTATTACATTACCTATATTAAATGCTTACTTTGTTGGGCCTTGTTCCAAGAACTTTCCATGAATTAATTCACTTAACCTATACAATCTTTTGAGAGAGATGCTGTTAATCCCATTTTACAGTTCAGAAAACTGAGACTTATCAGGGTTAAGTGACTTGCCTAAGGTAATACAGTAAATAGCTGTATTGAGATTCATATCTAGATCTCTTTAATTCTAAAATCTCTGGTCATTTCAGTGTATTATTCTACCTTGTTTTTCATTCTTTTTTATTTATTTTTTATTTTTTTAAGTTTTTTTTTTAATGTTTATTTATTTTTAAGAGAGAGAGAGACAGACAAACCATGAGCAGGGGAGGGGCAGAGAGAGAAGAGACACAGAATCTGAAGCAGGGTCCAGGCTCTGAGCTGTCAGCACAGAGCCCATCGCGGGGCTCAAACTCACGAACCATGAGATCATGACCTGAGCCAAAGTCAGACACTTAACCAACTGAACCACCTGGGCACCCCTCGTTCTTTTCTTTTCTTTTTTTTTTAATTTTTTAATGTTTATTTTTGAGAGAGAGACAGAGTGTGCAAGTGGGGGAGGGGCAGAGAGAGAGGGAGATAACAGAATCCAAAGCAGGCTCCAGGCTCTGAGCTGTCAGCACAGAGCCTGAAGCAGGGCTTGAACTTGGGAATGGCAAGATCATGACCTGAGCCCATCTCATGCTTAACTGACTGAGTCACCCAGGTGCCCATGTTTAGTCATTCTTTAATGGTTTCTATTTGAACTTTAAAAAAATTTTTTTTAATGTTTATTTTTGAGAGAGAGAGACAAAGAGAGACAGAGCACAAGTGGGGGAGCGACAGAGAAATAGGGAGAGACAGAATTTGAAGCAGGCTCCAAGCTTCCAGCTGTCAGTACAGAGCCCGATGCAGGGCTCGAATTCACGAACTATAAGATCATGACCTGAGCTGAAATTGGACGATCAACCGACTGAGCCACCCAGGCACCCCTCTATTTGAACTTCTAAAAAGCATCTAAAGATTAATAGAATCATTAATCAAAGGTTTGATTTATATTTTTCTCTTGCTGCTAGACTATTAGCTCCTTGAGAACAGGGACTAAGGGTCATGTTTATTTCTGCATTTCTCTTTCCATTAAATGCAAACTAAATTCTTGATGTACTTACTGAATGCTGCCTTCGCTCTCCCAGGAAATCTGAGATACAAGGCTGCTTAACAGAAGAACCTTAGCATGTTAGAACTTGAAGGGGTTTGAAAAATCAAGTCAAGCCTTTCCCTCAAGGAGGAAGAACCTTCCTGGGTGACCCAGTGAGTTGGAGGCAGACAGAATTAGAATCTAGGTCTTTTGGGGTTCTTCTGGGCCATCTGGTTTAAAGGTCCTAACCCTGTCCCTAAATTGCTCCCTCTCTCTGTTTCTTCCTTCTTCCTTTTCTTTCCTTTTTCCTTTCTCTCTTTCGTTCATGATGTGAGATGAGTAGCTTTACACCCTTATAGCTTTAAGCCTAAGAGTTACAAAGCAAGGCAATATTTTTTCATTTCTTTTACACTGATGCCTAGACTTATTCCTGATTATGCCTTTGTTCAATCCAGAATAGTAAGGTAGTGGGGATTTGACTGCCTAAGGATTTTGGGTGTTACCCTGTATGTAGGGGACCATTAGAGGGTTGTAAGCAAGGGAATGACATGTTCAAGACTATATATTAGAGAGACACTTGGGTGGCTCAGTCACTTAAGCGTCTGACTCTTGATCTCAGCTCAGGTCTTGATCTCAGAGTCGTGAGTTCAGGCCCCATGTTGGGCCATGCACTGGGTGTGAAGCGTACTTAAAGAAAGAGAGAGTGGGAGGGAGAGAAAAAGAAAGAAAGAAAGGGAGGGAGGGAGGAAGGAAGAAGAGAGAGAAAGAAAAGGAAAGAGAAGAAAAAAAGAAAAGAAAAGAAAAGAAAAGAAAAGAAAGACTGTATGTTAGAATTACCATTCCAGACTCCTGGAAACGGTAGATTGGAGAGGGAGACACTGAATGCAGGGAGATTGAATAAAGAGGTCATTGCAGTGAGGCAGGCAAGGGCTGGCAAGGGCTGGCAAGAGCTGGCAAGGGCTCACCTGGAAAGGAAAGAATATATACAACAGTTAGGTGAGGGATGAAAGGGAGGTGTCAGGCATGGTCCTAGGTTTCTAAGTTGGATCACTAAGAGGTGCCTCTGTCCAAATTTGGAAATCTAGGAGAGGATCAGGCTGAAATGGACTCGTGGATAGAGCTACAGAGGGAGCTGGCTAGAGCTGAAGTGCTTGTGTTTGTGTTTCAGATGGTGACCCTCTTTCAGATGTGGGTTGTTCCCCTCTATTTCACAGTGAAGCTGCACTGGTGGAGGTTCCTAGTGATCTGGATCTTGTTCTCTGCTGTCACAGCTTTTGTCACCTTCCGAGCCACCCGAAAACCTCTAGTACAGACAACCCCAAGGTGAGAGATTAGGTAGTGGGGAAGAGGAGCTAGGTTTCCTGAAGCTAATGGGTTGGAATGCATTGGGGTTGGAATGGGTTTAGACTGAAAAAATTGTAACTTTTATTTGCCAAGATTACTTGGCATGGGGTTCCACCAAAACAAGCTGATTGGGAGAACTATCCCCCCTTCACAGATTAAAAATCATAAAATATTTCCCTGTAGCTTACCTTAGAGTTTATATCAAGGTTTATTTATATTAAAAGCAACCAAAATAAGTAAGCAAATTCTGGTGATCATTGTCTCATTTTAAATGTTTTTGTGTGTGTGTGTGAACCCTTCTCTAATCTCTAAATTAGATTTTCTATTGTATTCTTTTATAGGCCCTGTAGTTTTCCAACATAGAACTTATCACAAAATATTGAGTGTCTATCTCCCCCACTAAACTATAATTGTGAGATCAGGAACCACATGTATTTTGGTTGTCACTGTATATCCAGGCCCTACCACAGGGCCTGGCACATAGGAGCCTACTCTGTAAATTTTTGTTGAATGAATGAATCTCAGCAAATGTGCAATTTTTCAACAAATAATACTTCCTTCTTGGGTCACAAAGCAGCCCCTGCCTGTATTATTCTTTGCATTTTATCCAAATGCGTTTCTAGTTTGATCCTCCCAACCAGCTTGTGAGGTCATTTAATATCTGTACTTGACAGAGAGAGAGATTTTCTCATTCATTCATTCATTCAACAAGCACCTGCTATGTGTCAGGCCCTGTGCTGAGCGCTGGGGATACAGAACTGGATAAGACATGGTCCCTGCCCTCAAGGAATGCTCGGTTTAATGGAGGAGATGGACAAGAAAGCAGCTGTTTCAGTGCAGTTGGTAAGTGCTGTGAGAGATGTGTGTACGGATCCAGGAGAGCCTAGCAGAGGAAATAGCCAGCCTCAAAGTTGTAACTACCTGAACCAAAGTCTTCCAAATTGCAAGTTGCTCTTTTCCCCATGCATTTTATGTTCTGCTTTACTATAGGTCTTCCTTTGGCCTTCTGAGTATCATTTTATATGGTAAAATTGATCTTCAAGGTGAAGTTGGTGATTGAGAAGCTCCTCTCTGGCTATGGTAGTTTACATTAAGGATTGTTAGAAAAGATAGAGACTCTGGAGCCAGATGGATGTGGATGGGAAACCCCAGCCCTGCCAATTGTTAATTATATGACTTGTTTGGCTTCACCTTTCTGAGCCTTGAATTTTTTATCCTTACAAATGTGATGATAATTGCTACCTCATATAGGGTGATATGAAGACAAAGTGTGAAAAAGCACTTTAAGAATCACTAAGTAACAAACAGTATCAACTTGTAGACAAAATGACTGAAAATGTGTCTATAACATGGGAAGTTTTTTATCACGATAACTAACATCTGATAGTGCTTTATAATTTCAGAGCACTTTCATAAACATTCACGTTTATTCATGTAGCAGTTATTGAGCGTGTATTATATACACCAGGAAATGGGCTCTGTACAATCCATTGAGGAAGGCATCATGGTTTTCCCCTGTAATACAAAAAATAAACTTGTCTTAGAGTGGTGATTTGACTTACCTGGAATTACCCAGCAAATAATACTTACTTAATCCAGATTCCACCTAAAATTCCACATCCTTTCCACTATCTCACTCCCATCTGATCAGTGCAAACCCTGGGTAATGGAGCTCTGTGTGGGTTTTGCTTTGTGTAAAATGTTTGGGGCCTTTCCCTTTCCTGAGAACTGATCACCACTTGCTTAGCTGTAGCAGGGAGGCATAGGCAGGGACCTTGAGTTTCTTCCCTGAGGCGGAGCACAGTTGGCAGTAACTTGGCCTCAGTAGCCAGGCAAGCTTGAGTTGTTTATTCAAGCAAATTGTTCCTTTGTTCCCACCGCAGATAGAGTAGTTGCTCCTGATATCAGGGACCTGCCTCCATAGCATTTAAAAAGGCCCTGCTACGTTCAGGGAACCATCTTTCCTCTCTGAACCTGGCTGGGGTCAGCCAACCAGATTTCACACTCCTTTTTGTAGGGTTCTAGAGAGCACTGCTCCTCCTCCTTCACTAGCATTGTACAGCCCCACTCCACCCCCCCCCCCCACCACCACCACACACATGCAATTCAAAGGTATTCTTTGAGTGCCTCCTTCCTTATCCCTTCTTCTCCAGAAAATCATTTCAGAAGCAAATCCATTAGACACCATTTCATTATTGGCCTCTGGAAAGGAGCAAAGCAGTATTCAGGTTAACCATGCCCAACTGGAAAAGCCTATAGCTGATTCTACTTATTCATCTTCCCTTGAATTCTCTTTTCTGACGAGAACAACTAGCCTTCCCCACCTATTCCCTTCTGAGCATAGCTGTAGTTAGTAGTTTTCACTTCCTTATCCAACTAATCTGAATTTGAGATGACATAGCTGTCTGAGGTCAGCTGTGCTCTTTGTTTGAGGCCAAAACCTCCTTTTAAGGCTCTCTTTTCTTTGCTTGGTCTGGGACCAGGAAAATAGCACTAGCTCCCTGGTATGTGGAGGTGTTTCTACCATTAAGGGAGTGACCAGCTCCATTACAGTAACTAAAGTTGCTCAGTAAGTCCTAACCAAAGAACCTGCTCTCTCCATTGATGTGTGAATAAGAGGTTCTGGTAATCCAGAGGCCCCTAGGCCAGAGTTTCTGTGTCAGCTGTGCTAATATTCTTTCCTTTCTCCAGGTTGGTTTATAAGTGGTTCCTGTTGATCTATAAAATCAGCTATGCCACAGGCATTGTTGGCTACATGGCTGTCATGTTTACCCTCTTTGGTCTCAATTTATTATTCAAGTAAGTATCCTTTGCTTTTGTTTTTGCTTGTGTTTGGGGAGGAGGGGCCGGTATGGTGTACCTTTCTTCCTGGAGCAAGTCCTAGATATTAACAAGGGGGACATGGCACCAAGGATAGGACACTTGGGCTTTGGGGAATAGGGGAGGGTGAGCCCTCCCTGATTTGCACTGGCCAAGAGAAAGGAGTGTCTGGACATACAGAGTTAGAGTCCCAAATCATTGGTGATATTTTCCAAGAATTTATATTGTAATGAAAAAGTATTTAAAAAAAGTAAGCATAATAATGATTATAGCCAGTTACCATTACTCCATTCATCACTGTAACAGAGCCATTTTCCTTGTCCATGTTTGTACCATCTATTGCAGTGTCCACTCTACCTGAGTGGTCTTATGTTCAGGGAGACTAGGAGTTGGCAAACTGTCCTGTGGGCCAAATTGGTCTACCTCCTGTTTTTTTCTAAGGTAAAGAAAGTTTTTATTGTAACACAGCGATACTCATTTGTTTATGCATTGTCTATGGCTGTTTTTGCAATAAAACTATAGCAGCAGAGTTTAATATTTGTGGCAAATACTATTTAGGTCACAAACCTTAAATACTATCTAGTCCTTTACACAAAACGTTTTTTGTCAACCCCTAGACAAACTCATGTGACACAGTTGGAACCTGGCAGTAGGTTCACCCAGAAGTATACAGGGCGGGAAACAGCAGAGCGGTGTCCATAACAGTCCTTACAGTAGTTCCGGGGCTGGGATGTGAGGGAATGAGACCACCCAGATGGCTGTGGGAAACACCCTACCTCAAAAGCTTTCCCTCGCCAGTTTTAAGAATCTCCCAATTTAGATGCCGTATAAAATTGCTGCCTTGTAACGTAGCTGACATTCCACTTTTATCAGATTTCTAAGGACACACTTTTTTAGAAAGTTAACCTGTGGACATTTAACTCCCGCTCCATTGTTGGGCACTTAGGGTGTTTTTCAGTTTCAGATAACATTGTTTTGTTGCTTCCTAAGGATATATTACCAGGAGTCAAATTCTGGCTGTTACTCCATATTGTCATAAGATTTCAAAAAGATTCGTGTCAGCGTACAAGCCCCCTCACTCCCAGTTGAGGCAGAAGCCAAGAAATCCTGGACTCTGAGACTGTAGGGTACAGTAAGTAAAGGCAGAAGAGAGTGGAAATGTGGTCTCATGGCTGAGGTGATGGGACTGTGGACTGTGGATCATGAGGAATCCTAAGCCTACGACAGTGCCTAGGAAGTTACAGATATAGGATTCAGATTTAAAGTCAGCACCACTGGACTCTTTCCCAAATTTGGCACACTGTAGGCAGGAGCCTTTTTTTTTTTTTTTTTT